GCACTCCCGAAGGTCCCGAGTGTGGTCGGATCGGTCCCGACTCTTGACCAACATATCGTCGATGTAAGCTTCCATCGTTCGGCCCAGCAGATCAGCAAAGAGCATGTTGACCATCCTCTGGTAGGTGGCTCCTGCGTTCCGCAGACCGAACGGCATCACTCGGTAACAATACAGCCCATCCGGGGTCACGAAGGCTGTCTTCCTCTCGTCTTCATGGTGCATCATGATCTGATGGTACCCCTTGAAGGCATCCATGAAGCTCATTAACTCGGCCCCGGCCGTCTCGTCGACCATCTGGTGAATGCTTGGTAGAGGATACGGGTCGAGCGGACAGGCTTTGTTGAGGTCCGTGAAATCGATGCACATCCTCCATGCTGGGGGCTTCGGGACAAGAACGATATTTGCCACCCACTCGGGATAAATCACCGGACGGATGTGCTCGATTGCCGCCATCTTTTTGACTTCCTCCCTGACAAACTCACGGCGATCGGAGGAAAGGTGTTGTGTTTTCTGCACGACCGGCTTTGCTACGGGATCGACGGCTAACTTGTGACAGATGACCGACCGATCGATCCCGGGCATGTCTTCGGGCCCCCACGCAAAGATATCAGCGTATTCCCGAAGTATGGCCAAAACTTCCGCTCGGAGCTCGGGAGTGAGGGCTCGGCCAATCTTAATCTTCCTGTCAGGGCGGCCCTCGGACAGGGGAACTTCTTCTATCTCTTCGGAAGGCTCGGGCTGCTCCTTCCGTTCCTTAGCCTCCTCTTTGGCTATAGTGTTCACCCGGGAAGATGGACCGGAATCACGTCTATTAACCGCTCGGGTGTAACACTTCCGGGCGGATTGGACATCGCCACGGACCACGCCGACCCCGTTAGGGGTGGGGAATTTCATGCACAGGTGGGGCATAGAAATTATCCCACCGATCTTCATAATGGCGGGTCGGCCCAAGATAATGTTGTGGACGCAATGGAGGTTGACCACAACAAATTCTAGCTCCATTTGGATCGACTTTGGAGGCGTGCCGATCTCAACCGGGAGCGTTATTTTTCCCTCGGGGTAAATAAGAGCCCCGGTAAATCCTGACAGTGGTACTCCGACCGGAGTCAGCTCCTTCCTGTCGAGGCCAAGCTTCTCAAACACGTCCAAGTATAGGACGTTCACACTGCTGCCCGTGTCAACCATAACCCTTTGGACGTCCGTCCCCTTAACGTCGATCGTGACCACGAGCGCCTCCATGCCGTGGTCGCTGCTGCTAGGTTGGTCCTCAAGGGTGAAGGTTATGGGTTCCATCTTCTGCCTCTTCCCAGTTTCCCGAGAATCTACGATCGCGACTGGACAATTCGTCCTCGATCGAGATGCATCTTCCAGCCCGCCGAATATGACATGGATGGTGGGCTTGCCGGATGGGCGGCTACCGGATGGAGGGTCTAGGTCCCGTCGGTCATCGTGACGATCGTCCCTTCGATCGTCTCTTCGGTCCTGACCCGACCGATCAGAGCGGTGATGAGATCGCCTGTGATCCCTCCGATCGGTATTTCTCTTGCTGTCTTCTCTCTTTCCCACACACTTGTCCAATTTTCCCAAATTGAGCAAATCTTCCAATAATTGGCGCAAGTGGGTACACTCCTCGGTGTCATGCCCGGCGCATCGATGGTAAGCACAGTGCTTACTCTTGTCAGGGCCGTCTCGATCGGGATGGGGGAGTTTGATGAGGTTGCAGGACTGGGCGTATTGCATGGCCTCCGCTGCGGATCGGTTCAAAGCCGTAAATTCTCCAAGCCTGGTGCGGGATCGGGGGTTGTCATCTCCCGACCTATGTTCCGCCCGGCTGGCCGGTTTACGGGACGAAGAGCCGACCTCCTGCGAGCGCTTGACGGCATTCGCCTCACTTGCGTTGGCATAATCAGTGACCCTTCGGAGGGCCTCCTCATAGGTAGTCGGGGGGTGAAGGATAAAATCCTGGTACAGATACCCCGCCCGGAGGGAGATGTGAAGCATGTGAGTGGCGGTCGCATCATCCATGGGCTCGACCTCTCCGACCGCTGCCTTCCACTTGATGAGGAAGTCGGTCAAGCTTTCCCCTTCGAGCTGCTTGGCCTTTTCGAGGTACATATAGGACTTCCTCACCACTTTGGAAGTAATGAACTTCCGTACAAACTTGATCGCCAGGGTCTCAAATTTGTCGATTGACCCCGGCTGCAGGGTTCGGAACCATTCTGCCGCCCGACCGGTGAGGGTTGAGTAGAAGGCCCTGCACATCACGGCGTCTGAAACGCCCTTCAGCATCATATTGCTGAAAAAATCATTCACGTGAGCCTCAGGATCTGTCCGACCGTCGTAACTCTTCTCTCCCGAGACCTTTAAGTCGAGCGGGTAAGGCTGAGCCATTACCGCTGCTGTGAAAGGCGTCTGGTGTAGGGTTGACCGGTCGGCCGGGGGTGCTGTAGGATACGCACTCCTGAGCTGCGCAACTTCAGCCTGGAGGTTGTAGAGCAATCCTCGGGTTTCGTTGAGCTCGGCGGCTTGAGCGGCTTGGGCTGTATCCCGAGCGCGTCGCCGTCGGTGCGATCTCGACCCGCTATACCCGGATGAAGCCTCGTGGCTAGCTTCCTGCATTTGTACGTCCTCTTGCCCGCGATTCGGGTCTTGGGGTCCCAAACGCTGGCGCATCTCTGGTCGGAGACGATCAAAAGCTACCGTTCGGGCAACTTCTTCAGGGTCCTCCGCTTGAACGGCCTGAGCTGGTGCCTCCATCGCATCAGCACCCCCCGACCCCAACCGCGAATGAGCCGAGCGTCGAGCCCGGGATGTGGACTGACGTTGCGGCTCTACTTGTGCGGTCGGTTGTACTGGAGGGGCGGCGGCTGGAGCTGTATAAGCAGGCGTATATGGTGGATAACCAACCGGGGAAGTGTAGCACATCGGTTGTCCCGGCCAATACCCATATGGTGGAGGTGGGACCGGGTACGGATACTGGGCGGGATACATCATGGGCTGCTGCTGGTATGGCAGACCGGGTGTTGGGTATCCTGGTTGTATGTAATTCACCGGCTGCTGGGCGGCCGGGTATGTATTTGACGGATGCGGTGGTGAGAGGTTGAGGTTGAGGTCCATCGTCTGACCCTGCTGTTGGGTAGCATAGTGGTCGGAGGAGCTCGCCGCGTCCGCCTGGTCGTCGGCAAAGTTGTTGTGTGCCCACGGATACATGTTGGTATAGAGACCGGGTGCTCGTCAAGACGTTGGTTTCTCGTACGATCCCCACAGACGGCGCCAAAATGATACTGCTAATTATATGTAAGCAATATAAAATAACACGAGACCAATTAAAGCAAGTAAAATCTTTATTGATCACGGTAAAGGCCCTAAGTACAATCTACTTGGTTGCTCTGAGTACCGACTGAGTGCGGTCGGGATTCTCTAACAACAACCTATCGATCGTCCAAAAGTCCTCTACACTGTAGCTACTGTGGGCATTTATAGCCGCTGTGCCGGGGACAAGATTCCGGCTGCTCGGCATGTCTTCCACGTAGCCACCACGTGTCATCTTCCCGGGTGCCCTGTCTGTCGCCATGAAGAGCCGGCACGCGTCCCTTCGCGTCCTTGTGCCAGCTCTTTCGTCGAAGGGCTACCGCTCGGTGGTCGACACCAGCGTTCGGGCAATTTCCGGCCGTTCCCGACCGGGATCTCTATGAAAAAAGCCCGACCTGCTACCTGCAAGGATCAAAAAAGAAAGACAAAGGCAAGTCGGTCGTGGCGGAGCTTATGTCGGTCGGGATATTCCCTACCATGTACAAAATAGTATGAAAACACATTAAGGGTTCATTGGTTATATGCATAAGGTTCACTATTTGTGTGCATAGGGTTTATTATTTGATCATATACAAACGAATTGAAGGTTGGATTATTTAGGCATTTATATTCTAGGCTTATTATGTTGTACATAAGATTAATTATTTGTAGAGCATAGTTGGACTTATTCAGGACGCTTCACTCATTTTACTTAGAAATATGATATTCAGTAAATCAAAGTTCACTGCATAAAATTCACTATTGAGTTAATACCCAAAATGATCCTCGACTATAATGGTATTTCTCAATTTCGTCCTAAACGACTTTGGTGGCCTAATGTAGTCCCAGACTTTTGTATATTTCTTCAATTTAGTCATCCGTTTGTTATTCCATCCATTTGGTGTTAAGTAGAGGGACAGTTCAGTAATTTCAATATTGACATATCTTTACTCTTAGACCTGCGAAGTGCGAAATCTCTCTTGCTTTTACGAATTACTCCCAAACTTGCAAATATAAAATTTGATTCGTAGGGATAGGAATAATTATATGAGTAATTCGCAAAAGAAAGGGGAATTTCGCACTTTGCAGGGCTGAGAGTAAAGAGAGACCAATATTGAAATTACTGAATTGTCCCTTTATTTAACACCAATTTGACGGAATAACATATGGACGACTAAATTGAGCAAAAATACAAAAGTCTGGGGCTTCATTAGGTCACCAAAATCGTTTAAGACGAAATTGAGAAAAACCACTATAGTCAATGACCATTTTAGGTATTAACTCATTCACTATTTGTGTGAATGCGTTTTGATGCATATATAGTCCACAGTCAAATTTACCGCGCGAGAAAAAAAAAGTCTTAAGTGAAATTTCTTGTCCACCACATACACCAATCTCTCATACTTTTTTTATGATAAATTTCAAAATCATATCTTTGAATACTTTAGCAGACAAAAGACTCAAAATGCTTTTTTTTTTTATCCATTATATCACAACACAATTATGTGATGCTTTTTTTTTTTATTTTTTTTTTTTATCCACTATATCCTTATTTCCTTTCTTGACGTACGAGACCCGCAAGATATTTTTATCCATTACACTCTTATTTCCTTTATTATGCGTGGTAGAGATGAAAGCAGTGGCAAACATAGTAGCATGGAAGAGGATTTAAAAAAAAAAAAAAGCAAAAAAGCAAAAAAGAACAGCAATAAAGAAAGAAATTCCCTTTCCAAAAAAGACTAAACAACCTTCCATTTATGCACGTACCCAAATTTTACAAAATATCATCTTCATCTTCTGACCATTACTCTAATTCTTCCTTAAAGAACCATACACTACATACTAGTCATCATCAACAATTACAAGTAGTTTTCTTTCTTAGATTATGTCCCAGATTAATCTGATCATGTAGTAGCAGATCAGAGGTTGTTTCCCAAATCCTAGTATTGTTGTGGAGCTGGGAATGGAGGAGATTACTCATCAGAGTGGAGCAGATGAGGTCCGGTAGAGCTTCCGGTTTTTGGGAGCAGCCGCTGCCTCTATCCGCAACTGCCCATTTCAAGAAACCAAGTTAATACACATACATACACACACACTATAAAATCAGTCACTTTCAGGAGCAATCTCAGCCAAGTCGGTCAGAGTTCATAACCACAAAGCTACAAGTTTGACTTTAACCAAGAACGGGATATGGCCTTTTTGGACGAAGTTTACCCAATGCATACTCTCGAGTAATGATTGCGGGTTTCACTCAAAACCAGTCACTATCCCCTCACACCCTTTTAGTACCCGTGTTATAAATAGAAAACCCAATCTTTCAAGCAAATGTTCTTTAATGAGGCCAAAAGCTCAATAAGGAAACCATTAAAGCATAACCACAAGCTACTCCTAAGAGGAAGAGTTTATTCAGTGCACACCATCGGGGTGGCTTTGGGTTTCCCTGATTAGTCTCTTTCACCCACACCCTTTTAGTACACATGTTATAAATAGAAAGACCAATCTTTCACACAAGTGTTCTTTAATGAGGCCATAACCTCAATAAGGAAACCATTAAAGCATGCCCCTTTTGGGAGCTTCACAAACCATTTCATCTGCAGATTAAAAGCTTCACAAACCATCCAGAAATGTTATAAGGGAAAAGGGTGTACTGTATACCTGCTGATATTGTCTAATGAGCTTGGCATTCTCTTTCATCAAATGAGCCACTTCTAGCTCCAACTCATTTGTATAAGCCTGCGGGTATTTCAATACACACATCCAGGTGGTCAAGAACAACACAAGCAAGAAGCCAAGAATGCAGAAGATAACACACATATTCCATTCATGAAACTAATGCATTGTGCATAGAGTCCAGAAGACAACCTGCTACCCATTATTGTCCCTTTTTTTCTTTTTCTGTTTGTATAAACATTTGAGCAAATAAGGATTAAACATGAGACCTTAATTCTATCTGATAAACACTACAATACAAGTACTTAAGACAACCTAGCTACCATCCAGTGTGGTTGGTTTGTCCTAATGTCTATGAGTTCGACATAGACAATCTTGCCTAGGAGAAATTTCTTCGCCCCAGGACCCCCACAACTCAGCCCGACAGGATAGTAGAGTCATAAATTACTAGTGACCTATTGTCCAATAGGTGGGAGGACTAGCCCGGTGCCCGGGACACCACAACTTGACCCGAGGACAGTAAAAGGATAAATCACGATGACGCTAAACCTATTGCCAAGGGCTAAATTGGTGACCACTACAATTAGATATAACTCTCACACTATGACTATCGCTATCAGAATCTAAAAAAATACCCAAAAACAACTGAGCTGATCGTGTAAGAAAATCTTAGGAAGGTGGAGACATGTTCTTGAGAATCTGTGTCTGCCCAGAGCAATTGCCATTGCTGAGGAGACAAGATGATCCCACAGGTGGGGTGGGGTGGGGGGTTGGGAGATGATTTTGGTTTTGGGGGTTCAAGTTTTCTTGATCGATCTTGGAATGAAGGTAAGGAAGGGTTTATATATGTGAAGAAATGAGATTAAGAATGTGAATAAAGAGAGTAACTTTCCTGCTTTCTAGCTCGTGAACGAGCAGCCGACTCCCGGTTCTTAATCATCCGCTTATGCCGGTGGTCGCCGGAGCTATTACCGGAGTTATGCGCCCTCTTTCTTCCACTAGCATTGCTACCCGCCGGAGATGAAGAAGCCAAGCCCTCGAAACTCGCTTTAGGGGAAACAGGGCGGGGAGGCTGCAAGGCCGAGTTTTGCACAGTCCTAAAGAAATGGAACTCCGGGACGGAGTTGAGATTCAGCCTGGTGGTCGCCGGCGGCGGCGGCGGCGGCGCAGGCCTGGGCGGAGTGTCTTTGGCAAAGGGTCGGCCCAAGAAGTCCTGCAAACTCATGCCCTGAAGATTGGGATCGTGGTTGAAGCGGTGGTCGTAGAGGTAGGAGAGATTGATGTCTTTCCAGACATCTTCCATAGTCATTCTGTAAGGTCTAGGGTTTGGTGAAGGGGAGAGTTATGGCAAGAGAGAAACAGAGGTTGAAGATGATGGTGAGCACTCACTCACTGTTTAGTGTTATGCTCTTCAGTCTTCACCGCATCATATGTAGCCTCACATGAAGAGACACATAGAATAGGGGGAAAATAAGGAAATTAGAAAAATGGATTTTTTTTTTTTGTAAATATATTATGTTCCGGCTTATGTCAGACTAATTTGTTTTGTTAATTGGAGCAAGGTTTAAAGCAATTATTATAAGGATGACAATGTGTCCCGTCTCCCGTGGAAATTCCCGATTCCTGCCTCGAAAGAGAAGAGGGATGCGAAAGATTTTCGAAGAACGTGAACGAGGATGGAAAACATTTGTGATTCCCCGTCGGGGACGGGGACACCCCTCCCGTCCCGCCACTGAATATATATATATATATATATATATATATATATATATATATATATATATATATATATATATATATTAATTTTTGCAATTAGGATTTATATTTAAAAAATTTTATTATTAAAATTTAAAATTATTTAACATTTTGACTAGAAATTGATGGAGAATGGCAATCCCCGTCCCCGCTTAATTTCCCGTGAAAACGGGGATGGAAAATATTTTCAAAAGACAGGGACAGGGAATATACTTCCACCCCGTTGTCATCCATAAATCATTATTTCATAAACCATGGTCCATACAGTTGTGTAGATCATAAATAAAAAATATATTTTTAATATATTAAAAATACATTATTTGTATACATAAATTACATTATTTGAAAATATATTATTTTATATACTATCAAATAATGTATATTTCATGCACAAATAATATATTTTTAGTATATTAAAAATGTATTTTATACTCATGATGTACATAGTTGTGTAGACTATAGTCCAAAAAAAATTTATCAAACTTAAGAATGATTAGTCGAACCATTTGAAATAGTCACCTAGCCCCGCGGGACAAAATGGCTTTTTTTTGTTTATTACTTTTTTTATTTCATATTGTAATATATTTTCAAACCCATTTAATTAAAATATAAAATACGTGAAAGTTTTAAAGATGAGCTTTTTAACGGAAAATTATATCGTGCACCATGGTGCATAATTGATTATGCATCAAGCTTCAAAACGATGTTGTTTTGTTTAATGAAAAGAAACGGTTCCCGTTCCGCGCTGTTACGCAAAAAATAACTCTGTTATTCAGTTTTATTTTGTATACACTGCAATTTCAGTTCAACACAACTACAGTTTCATTTCGATATAACTACAGTTTTATTCGATATTTATACATTCAAATATGTGAAAATGTTATTTAATTTTATTTTATATACACTATAGTTTCATTAAAACACGACTACATGATCATTTCGATATAACTACAGCTTCATTGCACAATATACACTCAAATATGTGAAATGTTATTCAGTTTCATTTTATATACACTGCAGTTTCATTTCACCATAACTACAGTATCATTTTGATATAATTGCAGTTTCATTTGATAATATATAAAATAATACGTAAGGCAGTGTCGGTTTAGATACACTGTAGTTTCAGTTGATAATTAACGCACACAAAAATGCGCGCTCCGTTAATAGTAACGGTGCTCCGTTTCTTTACTTAAAGAAATGACGCCGTTTTGACCGCAATACACGTGCACCGCAGTCCACGATATAATGACTGCTTTTTAACATTTTAGAAACGTTTTTTTAGTTCTACTAAGAAGCTTATAAAAATTTCATAAAACGTTTTAGAATTATTTTGCTAATTAAAAAATTAAATTAGTAAATAATTAATATTTATGTATATTTTTTAAAAAAATATTTACAAAAATACACACTTATATTTGCATGTTTCTCTTACATCTCGTTTATATTTGACTTTGCTTAAAACTCAAGTGTAAATAAATGTGTGCCTCCACACATATAATTAGTAATAATAATGATCTCCGCGCAGATTTAACTTACTGGTTCAATATGTAATATTTGAAATATAATAGACCAAAGTTCGAAAATAAAAGTTTTCAATTACACTTAAAAGGTTCCATGGAGAAATGGTAGGAATGTGTGTTTATTCTTTCAAAATGTTGAGTTTCAACTTGGAGGTCAAAGATTTGAAACTTAGAAATAAAAATTATACACTTAAAAAATGCTTCATTGAGAGATGATAGGAACGTGTGTTTATAACATCAGTCAAGTCTCTTTACTTGATAGTGACAACAACGACTCTGCAGATAGTTTGAATATTGATATCGCATTATGTCCAGTTTAATCAAAAATTTTCACATCAATATTGCACATATTCATTTTGAAGTTCATATTTTTTGAATTAGTATGAACGAGTGAAGTACTTGATTTTGTGTGTGTGCGTGTGTATTTTTTTATAATTTTTTTTGTTGAACTGATATTAACCTTTGGAGTACCCATTGCCGCCTTTTCACCTAAATGCATGCACTTAAATAGTTTACCACTTTATGCATAAATCTTTTTTAAATAGTGGTTACATTTCATATATGAAATATTTTTGTTGTCAAAATTGATGCTGATTGTGCCTTTAATCAAAACATGTTGAGTCTAGAAAATGAAATAAATTGTAAATTTATATTAGTTGTAATATATTTAAATGATGCACAATAAGTATTTTACATACAGGATCAATGAATACTGTGATGGTGGTTATTTTTAAAATTTCTTCATTTTATAGATTTGCAAGATTGATTGCAACATTGTTGTAGACTCAGCATCTTTTCAATGCATCAAGTGTGTCACGATGTTATATTGCCATACATTGACATTTTTAATAATGAGTTTTAATAATGAGTGTAAACTGAACTTCGTTCTCTGGTAAGGTGCTTTATTTTCCTTCTTAATGTGCACCATTTTTTATAATTTGTTTCTTTAATTGAGGATGCATTTTTTTACAGTCCCAAAACACAACCACTATCCTTTTCCAAACATGTTTCAGCAATCAAAATAGAGATCAAAGGAAGTAGAATTGCTTATGAGTGACCAGTAGCATATCCTGAACAACGCTTTAAAAAAAAATCATTGGACAGTCAACGGCTGATCAACACAATCGTTAAAATAACGAGTATATGAGAATATAGATAATATAGAGAATATATGGGTATTTTATATGAGAACCAGGTCACTGGGAAATAGTGCAGGTCCAATTTCGGGGGACTGGTGGTCAGTACACACCGCAAGATATTGTTGCAAAAGTTGATGAGTTGATATCATAGGACTATTCATATCAATCCCCACGACCCCACGGATGACGTCAATGTTTATTTTATGACTTTTGGACAACCAACGACTGACAAATACAACCGTTAAAATAACGAGTATATGGAATATAGAGAAAATATGGGTATTGTATTGCCCAGTATTGCTTGTCCCCTCTCTTGTATGGGGGTCTATTTATACATATTTTGGGCTAGGAGCCTTACAAGGAATATAAATCCTAGACTGCCTTATATTATGAGTGCTTGTTACATTATGAATAATAAGCTCATCAATCCTTATTACTTTATGAATACTAAAGTCCAATCCTTATTCTCAGGGGGCATTTGGTTCACGGAATCTTGGATTACCCAGGTAATAAGATTACCTCTTGAAAGGTAATGTGAGATTTTGGGAATGTAAGATTACCTTGTGTGTTTGGTTTGAATGGTGCAATATAATATTACCTTGTTTGGTTCAGCGTTATATTTTAGGTTATATGAATCAATTTACAATAATGCCCTCAATAATATATATATATATATATATATATATATATATATATATATATATATATATATATATATATATATATATATATATTTCATTATTATTATATAAGGATTAGTTAAACAAGGGCAAAGTTGAAATAATTCAAGGTAATCTAAGATTATCTAATAAAAAATGGTGGTAATCACATTACCTTCAAATTATTATTATTATTATTATTATTATTATTATTATTATTATTATTATTATTATATAAGGATTAGTTAACAAGGGCAAAGTTGGAATAATTCAAGGTAATATAAGATTACCTAAAAAAATTGGGGTAATCACATTACCTTGAAACATTACCGCCACATCAGCTTTCAGGTAATATAACATTACCTGGTAATCTCATAACTTGAACCAAACAATGTAATATGACATTACCAGATTCAGATTACCTAGGTAATCTAAGATTACCTGAACCAACCCCCCCCCCCCCCCCCCCCCCCCTTAAAGGTGTTCCATATTGAGTATCTTCTTGGGTATTCTTGGTCTAGTTATTCTTTGAACCGGACCATGTGACCTAGGCCTTAGAGCATCCACATCAGTGGATATTATGGAGTTATTGTCAGATGAATTATCTTGGGTGGGGATAATAACAAATGTGGGGTAGGGTTATTTGTGAAAATATTTATTCTGCAAATTCAAGGATAATGTTAGGAAAAAAAAAAAGAAGAAAAAGTAAAATAAAAAACAACACTGGCTGTGCGCGTTTGCGCACAACCAATGTCTACACGGGGGCTGACAGCGCGCCTGACGCGTCAGGTTTTTATTATTATTTTTTTCAATTTTTGTTTTGTTATTTTTTTTTCTTTTTTTTTTCTTCCCTCCCACATTCTCTTTCCTAATTACTTTTACATTATCTCCCAAATCTCCCCAACTAATATGGATGCTCTTATTGGTTGACTAGTTGGACGGGTCATCCCACTGTCCTATATATCAAAGGCATGTCACCACCATTGCCCTCACCTTTCTCTTCTTCTGCTTCATTATTAAACTACGCATGAGCTCATTTCGTGGCTTTTTGGACATTTTCACAAGGATGTTGACATTCCATTTTATTTTCATTCTATCTCAAAATGTGAAGTTCCTTGTCCCAGGAGCTCACACTCCGGTTGAGGATTGTAAAATGATAAATTATGGTGACTCAGCAGTACTTAATGTTCACAAGAAGTCAATCACATTGAATAAATTCTCACATTATAGCATTTAGGGTCCTTTATTTGGTGATATAGAAGCAGTGTAAACATAACTTAGAAGTTTGATGCGATCAATACAGATAATTTATCTCATTTCTTAATAAAAAAAATATAAGAAAAATTCAACAATAATAATTGACACCGGTGTTATATCTAGAGCTGTCTAAACT